ACGGTACTAAAAAAGTTGCTTACGTATCTTCTAATCCTATAGTGAGTTCATTACAGTTCCATACCACAGCCCTTCAGAAAACCCATCGGTCCTACAAACTTTTTTTTTCCAGAAAACCCTTCAGAAAACCCATAGGCCCTTCAGAAAATTCCATCTATTGGGTCCCTGCTGAACTTTTTTTTTTTTCCTTTTTTTTTTTCACAGTTGAAGAGGCACCTGCTGGGAACCGGGTCCAGCGTCCCTCATATTACAAGACATTTCCGTGACTGAGAGTGATCAGACATCTAACTCATCATACTCATGTACCCAGGACTATGCTCAGTGGATGCTTTCTATCAAACTCGATGATTGTATTTCAAGGGACGCTGGACCCGTTTTTCAGCAGGTGATGCTCCCCACCAATAGACTGGAGTCCCGTAGGTGACAGGTAGGGGTGTATGCTCTTATCATCAGTCCTACCTGTTATGACGGGTTAAAAAAAAAAAAAAAAAAAGTTTCAAAACTTTCACGAGCATGCGGAGTACCTGCCCTAGCGGGGTTCAGGTAGGAAGGGCAGATAGGCATCTTATTTTTGTCTAGATCCTTGCCTTTTCCCATTATATGGGCATTCTGCAATCTTCCTATGGTTGCCCACTTAGCAATCTCGGCGAGTTGCTTTTCCTTATAGTCGGTTGGCATTTTCCTTAGTACTTCAGGCTCAAGTTGTATCACTTTCTCGAAATCTCGATGCTCTTTGAACGTCTTCCTCGTCCCAGCGTGGTAGAAGGGACAGGGCATTCAACGAGAGTGGCCCCCTGGATTCCGGTCCAGGGGCGATAAAACCAATCCGTCCAGGGCCTGCTTGATTCCCAGGACATATTCACACCCCCTAATTTCACCAGAACCTTCAGGGCATCCTGGCACCCTTTATTAACTGCCTGGATGTCGGCCAATTGGCCAGGATAGGGAAGACTGACCCGAACGTGGCCATCGATTTTGGGCAGTTGAAGCATATGACCCATGCACACAGGAGATGGGTTAGCGGTGTGTATCTTGGACTGTGCACGAAATCAGCAACGGACCTGGCTTTTGTCCAGACTGCCTGTACTTTTTTCTGCATCAGGTCAGCCATCACTCCAGAATTCATCTTAGACTTCGTTCGATTGCAAACTTCCAATCTTCCAATCTTCAATGTTAGGACTGTAAGGCATCTTAATAAGAATCCTTTGTCTAAGATTAAAACCCACCCTTTTCTTGAGTTCTGTTCATATCAACCCCTGCACGATCTATTGATGCTTTTCAACGCTTTCAACAAATAGACGGAGCTTGCTTTTTTCAAGTTTTTTGTCATAAAAAAAAAAGAAAAAAGAAAGACGGATCAGTTGATCAGAATCATTTCCTGCGAATGTTTCACAACTTTCACTTCTTTTCGACGGGGAGAGCAGCAAAGAAAGTAGGACGGCCTTCTTCCTGTCGACTTCCGATTCGGTCCGAACCAAGCACGTGAGGTCTTCTTCCCCACCTTTGTCAAATCCGTTCTTCATGTCCTTTAACAGAAAAACTGACCCATTTCTGAGCTTCGTTTCCCCATGCACCATCCGTATTAGCTTCCAAGGTGTCAGCCAACGGGTCCCCCTCCGTGCATTTGATAATTTTGATCTTTACAGGCCCGGCCGGTGTTTCTCTTTAACGGATATCACTACATGCATCAAGTTGGAAGATTCGCCATTCATAACATCACAGGCAAAGTTGACAGGGGGCCATGCATTGTTTACCACCTGCGCATTAGTTTAAAAAAAAAAAAAAAAAAAAAAAAAAAAAAAAAAAAAAAAGAAGGTTATTTCTTTCTTACGAGTTCTTCTGGGTCTAGCCCGCATCTTAATTTTTCTGCAGTTGAGGCTGGGGTTTTCATGAGAGGGGGCCATGCATTGTTTACCAGCTGCGCGTTGTTTTTCTGCAGATGAGGCTGGGTCTAGCACAGCGACTGGCCCATCGAAGAAGCTCGGTCCTGATGCTACCGGCTGACCCCTGGCCAGTATCGCCCACCTGCAGGTAGGGTGCAGCCCCCCCATGTTCCCTCGTTGGAGGCTTGAACTCGGGCTGGTTGCTACGGGGGGTTCCCCGTAATACCACAATGATAAACAAAAAAGGCCTGAAAGGCAGTCCTGTCCAGATTTGGCAGGAGGTACTTTTGATCTGTCAGACCTGAACCAATAGCCAAAAAAAAAGAAAATTCAGTGGTGACTGTGGAGAGCCAAATGCTTGGCTTTCATGTTGAATTTTTGGACAAATTTTCAGCGGTAGACTCTCATGAGCCAGATGCTTGGCTTTGCAATGAAATGTTGATTTAGAAAAAAAAAAAAAAAAAAAGATGCTTGGCTTTTGCATTGTTCCCCCCCCCCCCCCCCTTTCCCACATTGAATTTCTGGACAGCATACCTCCGCAACAGTCTTTTTCTTCAAGTAAAACAGTAATCCTGAATGCTGGTAATGCGGAGCTGGCGGAACCCTCGGCACGATATCATCACGGTCAAGAACACGCACATACCGGAAAATGCTGTCTCTATGAGAGTTGAGCTTTTCCAGCGACAAGTTTGTCAGTGCATCCCCCGTCCGCGGTTGGCCAAAGGTGTAGAGAGCTCCCAGTCGTGACCGAATAAGATTGTCAGGGTCTTCCGCCCACAAGAACAGTGTGAAAAGTGCGGCCAGCGCCCCCCCCAAGCTGTGTCCGGTCACGTAGAGGCGCACATTATTCTGATCCCGTTCCTTCCTCAACAGATCGATAACCTCCCTCCTCAGCACATCGTAGGGAATGCCATTGTTCATCACCGCCTCCTGGTCTTGACCCGAAAGCTGCTCGTATGGCCGCCCGTCTTCTGGCGCCAGCGCTTGAACAAAGCCTCGATGCGCTCTCGCGGACTTGATCTTGAATCTCTCTGGTATTGGTGACAAGATGGCTCTCTCATCAATCAACCAGTCCCACATGTTGAAAGGGTTGGTCCCGCGGAAAGCCACAACAATTCCCGTAGCCTTTGTATTCTGTGCCGTTGCTCTGAAGAACACAACATGAGGTGAAGCTGTGCAGTGAAACATAAAAAAAAAAAAAAAAGGGAAAGAAGGAAGGCAATTGCCACAGAACGGCAAGCGTAAGAAAGGCGTACTTATTCGAGCATTGGTCTCTTTGGATTGGACGAGAAAGGTGTGTGGCAACTCCTCTCCACAGGTGGTGCTGCAGTGGTTTGGGTGCCGTTGGACTGCCTGCCTGAACTTGGTTGACCTGGATGGTGTTTCCATGAACCATTTTTTGGCTATGGAAGCTTTTCACGTAGTCCGGGGGCCATGTCCCACCGAGCGGGGGTGTAGTTTATGTTTCAAGTATTTTTTAACATGGCCACACTGTGGCCGTGAGATTCTCAGATCGGATGGCAGGGAGCCATGTGTACTCGAAACCAGAACTAAACCTCCACAAGTGGGACATCGCCCCAGATTATTTACTCGGGAAAGGCGACCTTCGCTTATGCAGGGCAGTGGCTCGGTCTGGGGGTTGAAGGCCGAGGCCAGAAGGCCCCGTTGAATCTTTTTGGCTCTATGATGTACTCTGGCTTGGGCATGGACCCTGTCAATAAAGGGAATTGTAAGGAAATAATACATGGTTGTATGTAGTCATACCTGCCTTGTGGCTGAATGGTACACAGTACAACTACACAGGCGTAACTGTTGAGAAACAGATCATAAGATTCATAAGTTCAAATCCGAAATGATACGATACAACATGGAAAAGCGCCAAAACAAAAGGAACACCGAAAGTCGTACTTAAACCACCAGTACATTTCTCAGCTATTGATGCTGAGCCTCCAGGCTCCCGCTACCGGTAACCCGTAGCGGGACTTTTCTCATTTGCAAAAACACGAAAAACAAAAGCAAGTGCTTGCCTTTCTATCTTTGTATTGCAACTCAAGGGATGCTGGACCCGTTTTCCAGCAGGTGCAGCTCCCCACCAATAGACTGGAGCCCCCAGTGTGTCCGGTAGGAGTGTGTGCTCTTATCATCACCCCTATCTGATACCACGGGTTTATTAAAAAAA